ACCTGACATGAAATAGTGCCGGAAATGAAATAAAAGACCTCCAGAAACCACAAGAAGAACCAGGAGAACCAGGAGAGCTTTGGCCCAGGATGGAAATTGTTCTGTGGAGAAACAGACAAAAAAAGCAAGATCTCTGAATCGTGACTTTGATTGTTAGCATTGACCTCTGACCTGTGTCAGCATCACTTACCTTTGACCTGCAGCACTACTTTCTGTCTCAGGATGTCTTTGTCCCTGTAGATGGTGCAGATGTATCCTCCACTGTCTCTCTCTGTGGGGTATTTCAGGGTCAGGCTGAGGTCTCCAGTTCTCAGCAGGTCTTTGTTCATCTTTGTTCGGTCTCTGTAAAGTCCATCCTGTTTCTTAAGGTGGTCGCTTTTGTGTGGATACACATACACCACTATGTCAGCACAAGTCCACTCCAGTGTGATGTCCTTTGGCAGCCCAGGTTTTGTTTTGCAGGGTAAGAGGACAGACTCTGACCCTTCCCCCACTGTCACCTTCATTGGGTTATCTATGAGGACAACAGCAACATTATCAACCACAAGAGCAGGAGCAGAAAAACATTAGTGGTAACTGAAACCTGATGAACATCTGCATTCCTGAGCTCTGACTCTGGCTTTTTACTGGTGAAGGTGTCTGATGGTATTATTTGGTTTACCGGGCATTACTCACCAACAGGGAAACCACTGAAAAGTGGGGTGAAAAGAGGGGAGTGGACGAGAAGTGCTCAGTGTATCATGGGAAGTTTTTTTAAGGATATACTACCTCTCCATTTGACCTCTGACCTTTGTCTACAGGACAGATTTTTTCGCCTGTATTTTCATCTGGGGTTTGTTGCTGACCTTTGACCTGCAGCTGTACATCTGTCAGTCTCCGTTCTCCTGTCCCATCACTCATGGTGCAGGTGTAGTTGCCGACGTCGGTCCGTTGTGGTTTTCTCACAGTGAGGCTGAAATCTCCAGTGTTCAGAGCATCGACCATCATCGATGTGCGCCCGCTGTAATGCTGGTTTTGTCCTGTAAGGTCATCTCCTCCTTCTTGTGTCATGTGGACAGTTTTGGGATCCAGATCACTGCGAGTCCACATCACTGTGGGTTGATCAGGAATGAAGCCTGAGAACCGGCAGGGCAGCAGAGCAACCTTTGCTGCCTCATACACCTGCACCAGCACAGCCAGGGCATGCTGGGAAACTGAGGACACATAAACACAGATTAGCTGCACGCTGTGGGTTTGTCTCAGAGACCACATTTATCTGCAGGGAGCAGAGTAGTCAGCCAATCACATTAACTGTAGTTTATTTTAATCATCAAGGGTTTTCAGCTGTAGTTGACAAAG